CTTCCGGGGCCCTCGATCCGTTCCTCTAAGTAAATATCTCTGCCATGACCTTGTTGTGGTTGGTCTTCGTTCCATTGGGATGGAGTCCTAGGCCTCCCAATGCATCATTCCCCCAAGACTGCCGGGAGGTACAGCTGGGCGTCGTCATCGGACCACGATACACTGCCCGGTAGCAGTGGGTGAAGTGGTCCCAGTCGTCCATCGGTGGTTGGAACTTCTCGACCGGTGCCAGGCAGAGCCGATGGTGGCCAGAGGCCGGAGCTGGTGAAGGTGGCGGATGGGGCGTGGCGAAGTTCCAATTTGGCGGCGTCTTGCGGAGAGAGGAACTGGGCTTGAGCGGCCACCCGTGGGTGTGTCGTCGCGTGGTACGGACTGGTCGAGAGGCGGTGCCAGCGACACTCCAGAGGTTCGTGGACGTCACTACACGGGAGGATCTTGTCATTGATCTCAAGGCAGCTGGGACCATAGTCACCAAGAAAACAATTGGTAACACACTACGCCGTGAAGGACTGAAATCCTGCAGGGCCCGCAAGGTCCCCCTGCTCAAGAAAGCAGATATACATGCCCGTCTGAAGTTTGCCAATGAACATCTGAATGATTCAGAGGACAACTGGGTGAAAGTCTTGTGGTCAGATGAGACCAAAATGGAGCTCTTTGGCATCAACTCAACTCGCCGTGTTAGGAGGAGGAGGAATGCTGCCTATGACCCCAAGAACACCATCCCCACCGTCAAACATGGAGGTGGAAACATTATGCTTTGGGGGTGTTTTTCTGCTAAGGGGACAGGACAACTTCAACGCATCAAAGGGACGATGGACGGGGCCATGTACCGTCAAATCTTGGGTGAGAACCTCCATCCCTCAGCCAGGGCATTGAAAACGGGTCGTGGATGGGTAATAACTTTAATAACCTTTTTAACATGGTTCATATTTAAAACATGGTTAATATGTATGTATGTGTTAAACGTCTTTCACACCGTACAGAGCCAACCGTGCACATCGGAGGTGCGACACGATGAACGTAGAACATCCAACATTCAATTACGCCCCAATTCCTAACACGGTAAACATGACTACTGCTGTGTAACAACGATGTCGTCTCACATTATCAGCGCTCACCTCAACCCACGTGCACAACTCCTTTATTGCGTTGCCGCTGCCGCTGCTGCTGCCGGGTCAATGTCACGGAGGTGGACGCCAATCCGCATCGTAAACGAGGAGTCCACCTCATCACTCGCGGAGGTCGCTCCTCTGCTCAAAGAGAAGAAGAAGAGGAGGGAAGGAGGGAGGAGAGAGGTAGGAGAGGGGAGAGAGGAGGAGGGAGGGAGGAGGAGGGAAGAGGAGGGGGGAGGGGCGAGGAGGGAGGCTGGAGGAGGAGGCTGAGAGAGGAGGAATTGGGAGGAGGGAGGAGGAGGGGGGAGGGGCGAGGAGGGAGGCTGGAGGAGGAGGCTGAGAGAGGAGGAGGGATGAGGAGGAGTACCGCCGCCGCTGCTTCTCTGGAATTTTGGTGCCAAAATCCCCGCTTGTTGACAGCCGATTGAGCTGGCGGAGTGGTGGACGTCAACCATCGGCAAGGCGGGGGGCGGGGGGCGGGGGGCGGGGGGGGCTCTCTGCGAAGCGGCGGCTTGCGAACTTCGCTCGGGGTCTTCTTCTTCTCTCGCTACGAAATATTCGTGGAGTTGCATCAACGCGCTTGCTGCTTCGACGATGTTACCGCGCTCGCCTTTTTCCTGCACTCGCGAGCCACCCACCGCATCACCACCACTACCTCCACCACCACCACCTCCACTACCACCACCTCCACCACCACCTCCACCACCACCACCACCACCACCACCTCCACCACCACCACCTCCACCACCACCACCACCTCCACCACCACCTCCACCCTCCTCCCTGACTCGTGAGTCAAGGAGGCCGATGCTGGGTTCACAGCACTGAGCCGACACTGGCGAGACTCGCTGGGTTCGACTCCCGGGTTAGACCTGCTCACCAATATAACCGGTTCGCAAGTGTTGATATTCTCAGCACGGCCTCCAAGAACAAAGATCTCCCGTATAGCCTGAACAGACTGTTGGGGCAAGTGCTGTTAGCGAGCATCTATGAAGGCCGGCACGGCACACGAGGGGGTGGGTGTCTCCCCAGTGAAGATGTTTACTACACACCGCACCAGGTGCTCACTTGAGGCTGAGTCGACCTAGGGGAGGCCCAAGACCGGTTAAGATAATCGTCATCGGGTGTTGGCCGTGAGCGGGAATCGAACTCGGGTGGCCGGGTTCGTAGCGCAGCGTAGCGCTAACCACTACACCACCGCTCCCCACTACACGCACACACACACAGACACGAGGTATCTCCACACCGAGGTTATTTTTGTAGTTTGATTGGCACGCGGCGAATAACACTTTGAATAACGAAAAGGTCACTGCGTGAATGTAAACAGGGATGTTTCTGATGTCGTCTTTCATGCGGTATTTGGACGTTGCAAAAGCAGCGAAAGTTCAGTAGGGAAATGTATCAGTCGCTTGACATGAAGCCGCCAGCACAATTGGAATACAAGTGTGAGACGCTTGTTTGAATTATACAGCACTGTAAAAAAATGAATTGAGGCTGGTGAAAATGTGGATGTTTTAAAATATGTATATGGCTCATATGAATTATGGAAGGTAGATTGGGTTCAAAGTAATGTAATAAAGAGCTGGACATTCGGAATTAATAGTTGTGTACAGTTACATTCGTATGTATCCGAATCAGAATATTTAATTATCTCTTAGCGGAATCCGATGAGCTATAAAGCTCTTTTTCACTGATCTAGAGTATTTCACAGATGTCCAGGGGGAAGCGGTGCGCGTGTTTGTTGAACGTCTTTCGCACCGTACGCAGCCAACCGTGCTAATCGGAGGTGCAGGGGGAAAGACAGCAAAAGGCGTTTCACAAATGCATTGGATTAAGTGTGCAATGAAGTACACACTTGCCCGCTGTAGGACCTGGCTGAAACTGTCCGTGACAATTGAACAAAAATGCGCAAAGCAGGCTTGAGGAGCACGTGGATTCCGCGAGAAGAAACGCAGAAATTTTGGAGACGTCGCCGCCGATTGTTCAAGTGAAGCCGGGGTAGGGAAAGTCGCTCGCCATTGGAGGTGATGGACGGAGACGAACGTCGCAGAGGGCAGCCCAAGGAGCAGAAGGCGCCCGAAGCAGACGACCCCCCCTCCCCACGACGGAGACGGAGCAATGGGATCCGCTCGGGTGCGGGAGCGAGATGGATCGTGGAGTCGCGAGGCAGTGAGGGGATGGAAGAGAAGGCGTGGAAGAACGGCTGAGAAGAGCGGCGGCATGCTGCTCGCCACGACGACGTTGATGATGATGATGGGGATAATAAGGCAGTGATCCACTTGTTGTCAAATGCGCAAAATGTGTAAACGGGCCAATGCTGGCAACCGTATACGTCCAAGATTGTTTTCTTCGCCGTATTGATTGCAGCGATATTGGAGACAGAATGAGGAATACGTGCATTAGATCACGAGGGAGCGTGCGTACGTACTGAATGTTTAACATCTTTCGCACCGTACTTAGCCAGCCGCGCTAATCGGGGCATATGTAGGCACATACGCAGGGGTAAATACATCTTTCAAAGCGTTCACAAAAGTAAACGGGCTTGGTGGGCAAGGACGCGCCTCTAGCAGGGTTCATGACCGAGGGTCGTTGAAGACGTATAACGGAGTGGTCCAGCCAAGGAGATGGAACGCGACGGAGAGGATCGCGCACCGTGGAGATGGAGCGATGGCAATCGGCTCGCGTCCACGCGCTGGGCTTTTGAACGTCGCATCGCATAGACCGCGAGAGATGGCGACGGCCATGGGGAAGCTTTCATCCAGCAGTGGATTGATCGTGGCCGAAGGTGATGGTTGATATAATTAGAGGTGCAAGGCGGTTGGTCGTGCTTTGAGGTGCCGGATTATCCTCGCAGCAAAAGTAGCTACAGATGTAGTAGCTACTACTACACATGTAGTAGCTACGGGCCCCGCACTTTCAAGGGCCCCGCGCTAAACGCTTTCAAGCTATCAATTCCGGTTCGGTGATTCTGCACTTGCTCTATTACTATAGTACTATACCGCCTTCGACTTTTATGAACGACTGGGTGTTTGAGGTTAGCGATTTGTCGTATTATCTGGCTGTATAGCAAATGAAAAAAAAAAGACAATTACTTTGCCATACCAGTTAAAAATGTATGTGCTTTAATATTTACGTTTTTTTTTTAAATAGGGTCTCTTCATAACATCATTTGCTACAGGCCCCGCAACTCGCTTCATCCGGCAATGCATGCTCGTGATACGGGGTTTGTAGCATTGGGTGGCCACTCTCTTCTAAGAGCCGTGTGTACACAACGCCGCTTGCACGGTCATTGTTTCTCTTGCCCACACCGCTTGTTGTTTTCTTGCACGGTTGCGTTACACCTTGCTCATTGAGCACACGTTCATCCTCGTCATCCTTATCATCATCATCAGCAGCATCAGCCGTGGTCCGTCCCAACTGCTGGATGAAGGCGTCCCGAAGGCGCGTGGGGGGGGTGCGGATATCGACGTTGCTGGACCCTACAGCCCCCACAACGCAGTCCCCAAGCGGCAGCCCATACACAGCACTTATCCGTGCCCTCGACGCCGCTTCGCTTTGCGAGGAGAGGCGCGCGTCCCGCGTTGCGGTCGGTGCGTAAAGCGACTCGGCGCCGTGACACCCCCCCCCCCGACACACACACACGCACACACACACACACGCATTGACACACACACACGCATTGACACACACACACACGCATTGACACACACACACAGACACACACACACGCATTGACACACACACACACGCACACACACGCATTGACACACACACAGACACACACACACGGATTGACACACACACGCACGCATTGACACACACACAGACACACGCACAGACACACACACACACGCACACACACAGGCACACACACAGACACACACACAGACACACGCACAGACACACACGCACAGACACACACACACGCACACACACAGACACACACACAGACACACACATTACGCGCACCTCGCCACGTGATTGTGAGGGACAGGTGCACTCACTGACGCGCATATTCGGGGGAGGTGGAGCGGGGAGCCCTCGTGTGGCGGTGGCTGAACTGCCGAGGGGAGGCGAGTGGAGAGGAGGGGGGGTGCATCGCTGGTTATTAAAGGCAGCGCCGCGCCGCGTTCATTCATCGAGGCGCCGCGCGCAACCCGCGGCTCCTGGACCACCACGCGCCTTCGACGTGCGCCCCGAGACGCTCTGGCAGGACGCACCGAGGAGGGGGGCCGCACGGGATGCTGGCGTCGAGGCCGAGGCCCCGGTGACCTCTCTCACACGCCCAGTGCCATGCCGCGCGGCCGCGATGCGCGCTCAGACCCCTGCGCTCGAATCCGCGACTCCGGGAGCCGGCGGCGCTAGCGGCAGCGAGCGGCCCACGGAGCCCGCGGTCGACATGCTACAGGAGGAAGACGAGGAGGAGGAGGATGTGGAGGAGATGGTGCTGGTGGGAGATGGTTTGCCGGAGGCATCCCCCGGTGTCCGCGCGGCCGCTGCAGCGGCCTCTTCCTCCGCGTCGTCTTCGACGTTCGCGCTGCCGGTGGAGCACAAGCGGAGCGTCCTGCAGGCGCCACCGGTGCCGGTGGTGCCGGGCCGCGCGTGGCGCTACCGCCGGGCCGCGCAGCGCCACGCGCGCTACCGGCGCCTGCAGAACGCCCTCTACAACGTGCTGGAGCGGCCGCGCGGCTGGGCGTTCGCCTACCACGCACTCGTGTGAGTGAGCTGCTGCTCCGCCTGTTGCACTCGGCGGTACCCCCACTCCTCCACCCCCCCGCCACCTCCCCCGGCACACCCCACACATCCACCCTGCCACGGCACAATTCGCGCTGCTCCGCTCGCTCACAAACGCGACGACACCGCCGCTGCGCCTAAACTCACCCAGGAGCGCTCACCGCCTCGCCACTCACGGTCCGCCCGCCACCGTGACCACCACCACGAGCCGTGATCACCACCACGAGCCGTCCGTCCGTGCGTTCACTCGCCAACTCGTGCGGGGTAGCGCGCCCTGCACGTAACTCGCCCACCGTCCATTCGCTCCCAAATCTCTTCTCCGGGTTGACTCGCCCTGACCAATTCACTTCGCGACTCGTCGACTCCACTCGCTCACGCTACAAATTCGACTCTCGAAACGCAACCTCAGCCTATCTCTCAAACCTCACCAACTCAACTCACCCATTCATCCACGCACCAATGTTCCCACCGACTGACAATGGCAGCACCGTACGTAAAATAACGTTTTCTGATGTCCAGATTTTTTTAAAGTTAGTCTTTCAACCCGAATCCGTAATAATTACAGGGGGCACATAAACACGCCTGCATACACATACATAGACACATCTGCAGGGCTTGTGTATCCAGAAGTCGCGCTCTCTGGGCAGTTCTTGCTCTCGAAACAGGAACCATTTAGGGCATATCGGGTTCCTTTTAACGATGTCCAGTTTTTAATTGGGCGTATGAATGAGCACCTTGGATTTCGGCCGAACCGCGTATAAATCTCCACTTGCTGAGGTCTGTAAAGCGCCCTCCGTTTCCTCTTACACGGAACTGCTGAGCAGATATCCAGATTGTTCCATTGCGCTCTGTTGGCATTGCTAAAGGAAGCTGTTGCCGTGCATAACGAGCCAATGCAATGAATATGCGACGTGGGTTGTTTATCGTTGCAATTCTGGAGAGAGAGAGAGACAGAGAGGGAATGTGTGTTTAGTAAAGTAGCCAGGTCGTGGTGGCGCGGCACAGTGGCAGCTCATTGCAGCGAGGCTCCCCGCTCAGTGCAACGAGGCTCTCCGCTCAGTGAAGCGAGGCTCCACTCAGTGCAGTGAGGCTCCCCGCTCAGTGCAGCGAGGCTCCCCACTCAGTGCAGCGAGGCTCCCCATTCAGTGCAGCGAGGCTCCACTCAGTGCAGCGAGACTCTCCGCTCAGTGCAGCGAGGCTCCCCGCTCAGTGCAACGAGGCTCTCCGCTCAGTGAAGCGAGGCTCCACTCAGTGCAGTGAGGCTCCCCGCTCAGTGCAGCGAGGCTCCCCACTCAGTGAAGCGAGGCTCCACTCAGTGCAGCGAGGCTCCCCGTTCAGTGCAGCGAGGCTCCCCGCTCAGTGCAGCGAGGCTCTCCGCTCAGTGCAGTGAGGCTCCCCGCTCAGTGCAGCGAGGCTCTCCGCTCAGTGCAGCGAGGCTCCCCGCTCAGTGCAGCGAGGCTCTCCGCTCAGTGCAGATCGCTGCTCCACTAAGTGCAGGGCGCAGCTCCACGCGCTCTGCACTGAGTGGCGGCTGCGTGAGTGAGTGGAATGGGCCTCTTATGGAATTCATTCACGAGTGTCTGATGTGATTGCGATCGAGCACGTCGATTGAGACGTATCAGTCGACGTGCATGTTGTTCCAATACGATTTACTGGGATTGCACGAAAGCCTCGCCGTCTCGTAGGACTCTTTGTCAAGAGGGTCCTGCGGCGGGTTTTATTTTTATTTTAAAGATGTTTTCAGCCAATTAGTGATGAGTGTTTAGACGACAGGGTGGTCCAAATGTATTATGAAGACCCCATTTAATCGTCTAATACGTATCTGTTTTTTCTTTAAAGTAAGGTTCATTTTAAACAGAAATTTAATATGCAAAGGAAAAAGATGTTCGGGGTCAATTAATTTGTGAGTCGCAAGACATTTGGACCACCCCGTCCAAGTGGGAGGAGAGCGGACCGCCCGGAGAAACCCCTCGTGAACAAGGGAGGAACGCTCGATCGCCATACAGATGGAAGGAGATGTGGGTTAAATCTTGATTTGAAGAACACCGTAGCTACTGGTATGGCAAAAAGCGTATACAGGCATCTCCCGGTATATGTTGCCGCATTGCGCGTTGCATCGCATATACGTTGCTGATTCACGAGGGAACTTATTTCCTTCTAAGTTGAACTTTTCGCATTTGCGTTCTTTGAAGAAATAAAAATAAAAGCGAATTTATCGCGCAATTTTTTTTAATTCGGAAGGCACGCAGCGAAAAGGGACTGCAGTGCCTGCCCATACGCACTTGGCAGGTAACACGTGGAGATCATTTCCCTCCACGTGGCAGAGGGAGGCTCGACTCGACATTGTGGAGGAGTCGGACAGCGTAGTGGAGTTGCTGAGTCACCTGGTGAGGAGGAGCAGTCAAATGAGGATCTGATGCACTGGCGGAGACAATGGGGGGGCGGGGGTGGCACGTGACCCTCCAATGATCCGATCGAAATTAGGGATTATTAGTAATAGATCGGCATTTTGCGACCCCCACTGCCACTGTGTAGCATATTATTATTACGTGCCAGGGACTCTATGAGATGATAGGACAATAGTCCGAGTCCATAATTGGCAATAAGTAACAGCAAAGCGGTTATAAGTGACTCACAAAAATTGTGCGCAGTTGCGTGTACAGTACACGACTTCCCTGAAGGCATCGACACCTTCAGCGAGCGCGATGCCGATCACACAACGTGGTTCGAATTCGACCCTCGATCGATGGCTGAGCCATCGCCGCACACGCGTCGAATAAAAAGCAAGGGACAAGTCCTCACTTGATTTGAAGTTTTCGTGACTGCAGGGATCCACACTCTTTGGTTCTTTCGGTAAAGTCACGTAGGTATAATTTTATTTTGTTTATACCTACGTGACTTTACCGAAAGAACCAAATAGTTTAAGTCCATACTTTTCGATTTAAGGCTTTCGTGACTGCAAGGATTCATCTTCTTTGGTTCTTTCGGTAAAGTCACGTAGAATGAGAATAAAATAATAAATTGATAAAATAAAATAACACAATAATATTCTCACGACGTTTCGGCCACAACACAAGCGGCCTTCATCAGGTGAAGGGACGAGACTGAAGGACAGCGCTGGAGTGAAAAAGCCACGCTCAGATCGCGACCTTTAAGCTGTTTGAGAAGAAACAAAACGCCTTGACAAAGGAATTAGCATAGAATTTAGCATTGAAATGGCTGAGTGATTAGCTTGTGATTGGTCACAGAAATGGCTATGTTAAAGTTAAAGCAATCACATCCGCAGAGGCACCCCTTGACAAAGGAATTAGCATAGAATTTAGCGGATGTGTATGCTTTAACTTAGCTATTTCAACTCTAAATTCTATGCTAATTCCTTTGTCAAGGGGTGCCTCTGCGGATGTGTATGCTTTAACTTTAACATAGCCATTTCTGTGACCAGTCACAAGCTAATCACTCAGCCATTTCAATGCTAAATTCTATGCTAATTACTTTGTCAAGGCGCTTTGTTTATCTCAAACAGCTTAAAGGTCGCGATCTGAGCGTGGCTTTTTCACTCCAGCGCTGTCCTCCAGTCTCGTCCCTTCACCTGATGAAGGCCGCTTGTGTTGTGGCCGAAACGTCGTGAGAATATTATTGTGTTATTTTATTTTATCAATTTATTATTTTATTCTCATTCTACGTGACTTTACCGAAAGAACCAAAGAAGAAGTCCTTACTTACTAACCACTATAATTTTTCATTGCTGGAGGGGTTGCCCTCTCTCCCTGAAAATCCTGGCTCTGCCAGGATTTTGTTTTCTGACAGATTTTTGTTTTCACGTTTTATTATCAAGCCAAAAGGGTGAGGAGTTGAGCCCCAGAAGAGAAACAGCTTCCTCTGGTGAACATTCCGGTGACTCCAGCTTCACCGTCAGAACTACCTGTTATAATTTATAAACAGTAATTGTGTTCAATATTAGATGTTAAGAATTACATTGCAATAAACTGTGGTGAATGAAAAGCAGGGGTACAGGCCAACGTGGGTCATATATTGTTGTTCCTAGCCCATGGGCCAGCGCAGGAACTGGTACCACCTGAGGTAGCCAAACCTTAGCAGTACTCATTTATGTATATGGCTAATTAGTGAATTACTTGATTGATCCTCTCACTTCACATGATTAGCACTTAATTCACTGTTGTTGGCTGCATTGTGAAATTGGAACCACTGAAGTTACGCCACGTCAGGTGGGACCGACCAAGTGAAATATGTGGTGTGGGCTCGTGGACTATTGGGGCTGGGATACACTTCAGCAATGTTGGCGCAATAGGATTCCACGAGGTTGCACCTCCATCAATCGCGAGAAATTACCAGATTTTAACCCTTTGCAGTTCCGAGACCACTGCAAGTTTCAGGGTGGGTCCCGTTCACCGCTGAAAATAGGAACACACAAGCGGTTCAGCGTTAACTGTATTTAGAGAGGCATAGCGCCGTTGTTTTAAAGACATTGTACTCACTGCAGAGAACTATAGTGACAAGACCGCACTCTAATAGCTGGCGCCAAACTGTGCCACACGCCCTCTCGCATGGCATTGTAGGAGCCTCGGTACCGATAAAAGTTATTTTATTTTAGTTTTTCTTCCAGCTTCGTTACAATGACGTGCACATCATCAGAACGGGAAACGGTTAAACGCGTTGCAACGGATTGCAACAGAGCACAATGCTGCCGAAATATGTTTCAATAATTTTAGCCCTCGGAGCTGTTTTCAACTGTGAAAAAAAAAAAACATTTAAAAAACGCATATTTTTTTATGGACCTCCTTTTGTAAGTATTACGTTGATATGAAAAAAATAAGTAAAAAGGATTTACCCCTTTTTGGCAATAATACAGGTGTTGACAGTTTAAACATCAAATAGACACACCGATAACAAGGCATCATCAAGTCTGCATTAACCACAAATGCTTGTGGTAAAACATGCAAACGAATATGCTGCGATAATGTATGCATTGATCCTTGTTCCTGATTGGCATACACCAGAGACAACCTCCTTGATGGCTTTGTCTCACCGGTGCTTTAGACCAAAACGGTGAAGAGCACACGGAGTGTGAAAACGCCAAGACATTCGTCGTTTTGTTTCTTCTGTACACTCATTGGGGGGTACCACAGTAGCGAGATGTTAACTCCCTCGCCTGGTACACAGGGGTCGTGGGTTCGATCCCGACCCAGAGGCTTTTATATTTGGAGTGTATATGTTCTTCCCGTGGTCGCGTGGATTTCTCTCCGGCTCCGACGGTTTTCCCCCTCCACATTTAGAATCAACGCGCGTTCAGAGTTATTTGTCTGCTATACATTTCCACGTGAGAAGCCGCTTCGTTGAGCTGTCACTCGTGGCCCGGTCGCTTCTGAAAGAGAGCTACATAGTCCAAATAAATAAATTAAAAAAAAAAACAAATAATTGTTTAGTTTGAAGATAGCTCACTCTGTTTAAAAAAAACAAATAATTGTTTAGTTTGAAGATAGCTCACTCTGTTTAACACGTAGGCTTTCGCGACCAATATTATTCATAATAACGGTTTTTGGGTTAGATCGCGTTTATTTATAAATGTGTCGTAACCCTCCACCACCCGACACGGCCAATCAGCAAAAAAAAGTGTCACGTTGACAAAAGACAAATAATTCACTACTTTAGCCCACCGGTGTGTTGAAGAGTGAATCCACATTTACAGTTTTTTCAACACACCGGTGGGCTAAAGTAGTGAACTATTTGTCTTTTGTCAACGTGACACTTTTTTTGCTGATTGGCCGTGTCGGGTGGTGGAGGGTTACGACACATTTATAAATAAACGCGATCTAACCCAAAAACCGTTATTATGAATAGCTCACTCTGCAATCTGGATCCACTTTATTCCCGGCTGTATCCGTTTCAGCTTTGTTGGATCAGTAGGCCCGCCATGGCCATCTCGAACAACTGCGGCAATAATGTCGGAGTCGGAGTTTAGGCTTGAACCAGGAGGAGTCTGTGATGTTCTAAATCTTGTGGGAGGAAGTTCCAGACTGTGTGGGGAGCAGAAAGAAAGGAGGGACGTCCCATTCATAAGGAACATTGACGGAGTGTGACGCTTTGATTTAAACAAAAATGTGCACAATAACGATGGATGGCGGTAGTATGTATGTATGTATGCATCGTACGTAGCCAACCGTGCTAATCGTGTTCACGCAGCCCACGGGATGATTAATTCAAATCAAACAAATTGAGGTGAGACGGTGGAAATGAATTTACAGGTGAGATAAACACAGATACAGCTCGCAATGGGCAGTGCCAGCAGCAGCAGCAGCACCACGTCTGATGAATGTCTCCCCATCACATCCACACCGTCCTCCACAGCTTCATAGCGAAGGAGTCAATTGGTTCTTTCGGTAAAGTCGCGTAAAATAAAAATAAAAACGACCGCTTGTGTTGCGATCGAACTTCGTGAGTTTTTTTATTTTTTAAATCATTGTTTTAATTTTATTATTTTCTATCTACGTGACTTTACCGAAAGAACCAACGAATATTAATTCTTGCAGTCACGAAAGTTTTAAGTCAAAATTTTATATCACAATTATAATGACTGTATTTATCCTGGAAAGCGACACTGAGTCATGGGGCTTTATCGGGAGGGTCCTGTGTGAGGTTATTATTTTAAGATGTCTACACACGTGGCAGGAAACTGGAGCACACGGGGAAAACACCGCAACACGCAAGAGGGAAACATTAGTCCACTTGCTGTACTGTCTTCTCCTGGCGAGCTAGGACATGGCACCTCGACACACACGGGAAGGGAGTTTCACAATATATGCGTGTGTGTGTGTGATCAACCAACCCTCGCCTCCACAGTGCTGGATGACAGGCGCGCGATACCACCACTTCCCAACTAAGTTCAATGGTGAAGGGGCCAGATGACATCGCTGGTGCACTCCAAGGTGAACAGGCGATGGCTCCGACTCCCAGCCACGCGGCTTTACTGACCAGGCGTGTCCACCATCATGAAGATCGATGCATCACACTGCCAATCGCGCACACCCGATGAAATACTTGGAAAGCGGAGGAACCGAGAAGTGGTTGTGAGTCAGCGACCGGCGCTGCAAGATTATATCCAGCAATTTGGTAACCACTTTGTGGTCAAATTCTTTCCAGACGCATGAGAAGTAAAACATCCGACGGTTGGACATAGGCTTCTGGCGCTGTCCAATAGGGATAATCGGCCTCGAAAATCTTAATTACGTTGAGAGCGTTGATTGGCATGGTAAATAGAAAAATCCGGCACCAGCTAAACAACAGCCCGTGGTGTATGCAGGGCAGCGGAATTATGTGAAGGGTTGAGGGGTTATTCATCTATTACTGCATCTACAAGAGGCCACAAGGGCCGAACGAAATCCCAACAATTGGGTTCTATCACGATGCGCGATTAACGTACACTGGCATTGGCTGAAATCGGAGCATGACACTCCGCTGATGTTTCTTCTCGGGTGCATCGTATTTGGATTGCAGAGGTTGACGGGGTGGAGCTGCTGGCCACGGATTATACGGGGAGACGAGAGTCTGAATAAGAGGCGGGAAGGCTTTTCCTCGTGCCTATTAATGTTGCTTGGTGCTGAGTGAATGTGTGTGTGTGTGCACGCGCGTGGTATTTTGGCTACGCGAAACCCTCGAGTCCGTCTGAGTCTTGAGAATCCGAGCGATGCGCCGCTCGCCTGGGGTTGCCTCAAACGACAAGCTCCATGGATTCCACGGCACATTCTTGCCTCATCCTGCCACAGGTGTTGCGTGGTTTATGTGAATAAATAGAACTCTACAATCGACCCCACGAGTGCTGCATGAGAATCGATTGTCATTTCTACACACCGTGAAGGATAATAACATCGGCGCGTCCATGTGCCGGCTTCTACTGCTATTTGGGCAACAGTGGGCAGTGTAGAAAAATCCATCGTTGTATTGCACTTCTGTGCTCCCCTGCCTGCACCACCCCGAACATATCTGCGTAGAGCATCGCGGAATAACTCTCACGGCCCGCACAGCGCGGGGAATACCTCGTCCAGCAGTGGACTGACATTGATGCAGCGGTGGCTGCGTCTACAGAGAAGGGATGCGTGGGCACGGGAGGCCACTCTGGGTGTGTGTGTGTCACTGCAATATTTATAGCTTCGAATAATCCCCAATGGAATAGAGCCAGTTTACTGGACGACTCATGATCCAGAGGGACCTAGTTCATATCCTGGCCAAGGTCATAACCAACTATTCTTTGGTTCTTTCGGTAAAGTCACGTGACTTTACCGAAAGAACCAAAGAATATGAATTTCTGCAGTCACGAAAGTTTTAAGTCAAAAGTCATAACCAACTCATTGCGGGGCCCGATTCATGCAACGTTTATGTTCGTGCTTTTGTCGAATGTCCAGCCAATGTTGGAAATTCTGCAAAAAAAAGTGATCCCACCTCTTACAGGACACGGATATAGCGAGGTTAAGGCGCAGCCCCGCAATTGCTTGCTTGTGCCACTGCTGGCAGAATTATCTCCACTAGAGAGAGAGCTCGCTCTAACAGAGAGCCCAACTGGAGGGGTTTTTGGCCTCCTCTTCCACCCCGGCCAGATATCTTGGAAGCGGTGGGAGTACCCACACTTTACCCCACCACACACAACCCACCGATTGACTATTTGCGGTGTACTCATTGAGATTGCAGGGCTGGTAAAAACTAAAAAAGGCGGAGGGGCATTTGGGATATGTGCCCTTTGTTTCAGTAGCCATGCCGGGAGATCGAACTGGCAATTTCTGGGATTGCAGGCCAAGTGTGCGAACCATTATGCAACGATAGCCACGGTGGTGAGATGTTAAATACCCCGCCTGGTATACAGGATGTCGTGGGTTTGATCCCGATCCTGACGCCTGCTGTATATTTGGAGTTTGCGTGCCTCGCTCTCACTCTGCGTGGTCACGTGGGTTTTTCTCCAGGTCCTCCGGGATTTTCCTCCACATTTAGAATCAACGTGCGTTTAGAGTATTTGGCTGCTCTAAATTTCTACGCGATAAGTCATTTCGTTGAGTCTATTAGGTCACTTCTGAAACAGAGATGTACAGCTCAATAGTCAATACAGCTCGATATATACTAGGTAACGTTTGGGTAATTGCCCTTCATAGAGTGAGGGAAAAAAGTATTTGATCCCCTGCTGATTTTGTACGTTAGCCCACTGGTTAATGCTGTGTTGTGGCTGCAGAAACCTCGATTCGAATCCGAATCACGGCATTGTGGCGACAAAGACACGGCAGTGGCCCTCTATGTTACGTCACTTACTTTTATGGCATGAAATAGGTGATTGTGAGTGTTGTCATTTTAATGTGGTTGAATTACCTTCATGTTGGCTACGATGTATATGAGTGGTTCAGCTGCCCATTATTTGAATAAAAATGTTCAAAGTTATCAACAAGTCAATGATCTTACCCACGTGAATATATACAGTGAGGGAAAAAAGTATTTGATCCCCTGCTTATTTTGTACGTTTGCCCACTGACAAAGAAATGATCAGTCTATAATTTTAATGGTAGGTTTATTTGAACAGTGAGAGACAGAATAACAACAAAAAAACAGAAAAACGCATGTCAAAAATGTTATAAATTGATTTGCATTTTAATGAGGGAAATAAGTATTTTACCCCCTCTCAATCAGAAAGATTTCTAGCTCCTAGGTGTCTTTTATACAGGTACCGAGCTAAGATTAGGAGCACACTCTTAAAGGGAGTGCTCCCAATCTCAGCTTGTTACCTGTATAAAAGACACCTGTCCACAGAAGCAATCAATCAATCAGATTCCAAACTCTCCACCATGGCCAAGACCAAAGAGCTCTCCAAGGATGTCAGGGATAAGATTGTAGACCTACACAAGGCTGGAATGGGCTATACGACCATTGCCAAGCAGCTTGGTGAGAAGGTGACAACATATTCTTAGTTTTTTCGGTAAAGTCACGTTGAAGAGAAACAACAAAATAACAAAATATATATAAAACAATAAAAAATTCTCACGACGTTTCGACCATAACTCAAACGGTCATCATCAGGTGTGTCGGTTTGCATAAATTTATTTTGAAAACGGCATGTTTATTTATTTATATATATAAAAATAACGTTTGCGTCACGCGCAACGATGGCAGTTTGCCAGGACTAGTCCATCTATTTTTTGAAAAGAGGAGGGGGGAGACGAAATTTGTTTTTATGTATGCTGTCTGAAAGGCACTGTAAGCGTGAACAATCAATCAAGAACTGAAATGATTTATCAAATCTTTCCAATGATTGCTAAGATAGAATCCATCTTCTCGGTTGAAATTGTCTCTGTGTTTGTATATGTGGATAGCCTCATGAACGAATCTCTCATGGAAGCCAGATGGCTTACAAAGAACCTCCGTCTTGGAAAAGTCAATGGCATGTGAGCCTACTGAATTAGAACAATGATCTGCTACGGCCGAGGTGTTGGTCCTACCGTGTTTAAGGTCTGCTTTATGTTCACGAATGCGGTCCGAGATATGGCGTTTGGTTTCTCCAATGTAACTACTACCACAGAGGCAACTTAGTTTGTAGACACCAGGGTATTGTATGTCCGGAATCACATCTTTTACAGACGGAACCAGATCACGGATTTTATGTAATGTGTTGAAACGGACCTGGATCTTGTGTTTATTCAAGATTTTGGAGATCTTTTTTGTGATCCCAGCAATGTAGGGTAAAGTGATGGTTTTGAAAGGCTCCTCAAGAGGGTTCTTCTTCATGGTTTGAGTGATAGCTTTGCGGATTGTATAGTCGGAGTAACCATTAGCCCTAAGAGCTTGGTGTACGTGCTTGAGTTCACTGCTTATGTGTTCCTGGTCGGATATGCATTGGGCTCTATGATACAGAGTCTTGATGAGAGAATTCTTCTGTGATGGATGGTGGTGGGAATCCGGTTTCAGATAAGCATCCGTATGGGTAGCTTTCCTGTAGACAGAGTGGCTCATTGAACCATCAGGTCTCTTTTTAATTAGGACATCCAAAAGAGGTATCTTGCCATCTATTTCGACTTCCATGGTAAATCTGATGGCTGGGTGTATGGAATTGATGTGGTCGAAGAATTGGTCTAGAGCAGGCCGGCCATGTGGCCAGATGACAAAAGTGTCATCCACGTACCTCTTCCATAAGGTTGGGCGCAGAGTGGCAGTCTGGATGGCGTCAGTCTCAAATTTCTCCATGAAAATGTTAGCTATAACTGGAGAAAGGGGGGAGCCCATTGGGGTGCCCTCAGTTTGTTTGTAGAAAGTTCCATTCCAAGTGAAGTATGTATTGGTTAAACAGTGTCTCACCAGGGGGGGTACCTCAGTGTTTAGTCCTTGATGAACCAAGTCTTCAATGATTGCAATGGTGTCAGGTACAGGAACCTTGGTGAATAAGGAAACTACATCAAAACTGACAAGCAGGTCGTCTGGGGACAGGGAAATACCCTTGATTGTTGATACCAGGTGAGTAGAATTTTGTACCGCAGAGGTGGTCTTTCCAGTGAAAGGACGCAGGATTTCAGACAAAAAACGAGCTAGTTTGTAGGTGGGGGAGCTGATAGTAGAGACTATGGGACGAAGAGGTGTATCAACTTTATGTATTTTTGGTAAGCCGTATAATCTTGGTGGCCTGGCAGCAGAAGGTTTCAACGAAAACTGTTTAGATTGATCAATTAATGCGGTTGAATCAGAAATTATTTTGTTGGTTTGTGTGACGAGGCTGTTGGTGGGATCTCTTTTTATTTTTGTATAACTACCATCGTCGAGTAATTCTTTAATTTTGTTGTTGTATTCTATTTTATCCATGATAACAGTAGCATTGCCTTTGTCAGCTGAGAGAACTACAATATCATTCCTCTTTTTTAATTTATATAATTCAAAACGCTCATCTTTGCTGAGGTTGCTAGCTGGCATCTTAGCGTTTTTGAGGGTTGCAGCGATTTCAGATCTTGCTACGTCTGCAGCGATGTGACCCAGGCCCCTGAGAGCAACGTCTACTTGGGCAATTATATCATTAACTGGTATGTGTTTAGGTGTGACTGCAAAGTTTAGACCTTTAGCTAAAACGGATTTCAGACCATCGGAAATAGAACTGTTACTGCGATTAATTACGACTTTATTAACGTCTAACTTTTTGGTGTGTGGGTCCGGTCTTTTGTTGAAAAGGAGGTTAAATTTGGAAATCAGGTTTTCCTTACATTTGGTCGACATAGTAGCAGCTGAAGAGGCAGTCATATTGTCTACATGTTCCCAATCCGATGTGGACATTATTGCCGTCAATGATAAGTGTGATTTGTAGAGTGTCTTGTCTAACTGATCTAGTTCTGTGCGTATAAGTCTGATTTTTTCTGAGATAAGAGCTAAGCTAGTTTTGAAAAGAATTCGTTTCGCATTAGAAGAAGTTACAGTAGCAGAGGTGAGTGTAAATGCGATTGGTATTACCCCAGAGTCGCGGCATCTCTTCAGGAAGGTGAGAGACTCGATCAGCTGAGCTTTCTTATCCCGGAGTTTGTTGAAGGATCTTAAAGTTATGTGAAAACCCTCCCCGTAGAGGCGATTAAATTTTGATTTAAAGCTTTCGTGACTGCAGTAATTCATATTCTTAGTTTTTTCGGTAAAGTCACGTTGAAGAGAAACAACAAAATAACAAAATATATATAAAACAATAAAAAATTCTCACGACGTTTCGACCATAACTCAAACGGTCATCATCAGGTGTGTCGGTTTGCATAAATTTATTTTGAAAACGGCATGTTTATTTATTTATATATATAAAAATAACGTTTGCGTCACGCGCAACGATGGCAGTTTGCCAGGACTAGTCCATCTATTTTTTGAAAAGAGGAGGGGGGAGACGAAATTTGTTTTTATGTATGCTGTCTGAAAGGCACTGTAAGCGTGAACAATCAATCAAGAACTGAAATGATTTATCAAATCTTTCCAATGATTGCTAAGATAGAATCCATCTTCTCGGTTGAAATTGTCTCTGTGTTTGTATATGTGGATAGCCTCATGAACGAATCTCTCATGGAAGCCAGATGGCTTACAAAGAACCTCCGTCTTGGAAAAGTCAATGGCATGTGAGCCTACTGAATTAGAACAATGATCTGCTACGGCCGAGGTGTTGGTCCTACCGTGTTTAAGGTCTGCTTTATGTTCACGAATGCGGTCCGAGATATGGCGTTTGGTTTCTCCAATGTAACTACTACCACAGAGGCAACTTAGTTTGTAGACACCAGGGTATTGTATGTCCGGAATCACATCTTTTACAGACGGAACCAGATCACGGATTTTATGTAATGTGTTGAAACGGACCTGGATCTTGTGTTTATTCAAGATTTTGGAGATCTTTTTTGTGATCCCAGCAATGTAGGGTAAAGTGATGGTTTTGAAAGGCTCCTCAAGAGGGTTCTTCTTCATGGTTTGAGTGATAGCTTTGCGGATTGTATAGTCGGAGTAACCATTAGCCCTAAGAGCTTGGTGTACGTGCTTGAGTTCACTGCTTATGTGTTCCTGGTCGGATATGCATTGGGCTCTATGATACAGAGTCTTGATGAGAGAATTCTTCTGTGATGGATGGTGGTGAAATCCTGCGTCCTTTCACTGGAAAGACCACCTCTGCGGTACAAAATTCTACTCACCTGGTATCAACAATCAAGGGTATTTCCCTGTCCCCAGACGACCTGCTTGTCAGTTTTGATGTAGTTTCCTTATTCACCAAGGTTCCTGTACCTGACACCATTGCAATCATTGAAGACTTGGTTCATCAAGGACTAAACACTGAGGTACCCCCCCTGGTGAGACACTGTTTAACCAATACATACTTCACTTGGAATGGAACTTTCTACAAACAAACTGAGGGCACCCCAATGGGCTCCCCCCTTTCTCCAGTTATAGCTAACA